TGCCAGGCAACGGGAGCCGCCCCACGACGGGACCCGCGACCTGACCCGCCCCGGCCCCTGTGACCGGACCCGCACCCCGGAACCCGCGGACCCGACACGCACCCCGCGACCTGTGACCCGCCCCGCACCCTGCGACCTGTGACCCGAACCGCGATCTGTGACCCGCCCCGCACCCCGCGACCTGTGACCGGTCCCGCACCCCGTTACCTGACCAGCAACCCAACCAGTACCCCGCGACTGACCCGCCACGACCCCCCCACCTGATCCGCGACCTGTGACCCAACCTGTACCCTGTGACCTGACCCACCCGGCCTCCTGCGACCCTCGCTTCCCCCCCCCCCCCGTGACCCAACCAGACCCACCCCGGCCTTGGGACCGGGGGTCATTCCCACTTCCTGCGACAACCACCCAAACCTGCCCCTCCCCCGTGGCATGCCCGCTCCCCGAGACCCTTCCCCCACAACCCAACCCGCGACTGCCCCCCCCCCGTAGCGTACTTGCCTTGCATGCGTGAGGCTCTGGGTTCGATTCCTCAGCACCCCATAAGCAGAAAAAGCCGGAAGTGGCTCTGTGGCTCAAGTGGTAGAGCGCCAGCCTTGAGCTGAAGAGCTGAGGGACAGCGCCCAGGCCCAGAGTTCAGGCCCACAATCGACAACAAGAAAAGAAAATTACAAAGCCCTGCAAAGGTAGACCTTATTGACACCCTACCTGTAGGATGCAGCTAAAGCTGCGCTAAGAGGAAGAGTAAGCCCTGATGGAACGGGAAACAGCTCACCTTACAGAAAATGTACAACTACATGCAGCCGGGGATAGACTGCCTGCCCAGCAAGTCCCAGGCCTCGGGGTCCACAGAGACAGAGGGAGAGCTGCACCAGACCGCCTCATTCCCAGGACGGCGAGGTCGCCGCCAACCGAGGCTACACAGGAACTTGCAGGCCAGCTTGGTCAAAACAAAATAAAACAACAAACAAAAAAGTAGAAAGTGTGGTGCACACCTGTAATCCTAGCTACTCAGGAGGCTGAGATCTGAGGACTGTGGTTCAAAGCCAGTCCTAGTAGAAAAGAATAAATAGCTATTTCAGAAAAAGAAGACAAATACTCCAGAGAACTTGATTAAGGAGAAAAAACAGTAAGTGGCTCAAGTGGTAGAGCGCTGAGGAGCTCAGGGAGCCCCCAGGTCCAGAGTTCAAGCTCCACAACTGACAAAAATAAAAAGAAAAGAAACTGAGATACCAATATAGAAGAGAGTGAAATAAAGAATTCTCAAAAACCTACAATTTGGCCAGGTGCTGGTGGCTCACTCCTGTAATCCTAGCTACTCAAGAGGCTGAGATCTGAGGATCACAGTTCAAAGCCAGCCTGGGCAAGAAAGTCCATGAGACTCTTATCTCCAATTAACCACCAGAAAACTGTAAATGGCACTGTGGCTCAAGTGGGAGAGTGCTAGCCTTGAGCAAAAGAAGCTCAGCGACAGTGCCCAGGCCCTGAGTTCAAGCCCCAGGACTGGCAAAAAAAAAAAAAAAGACTAATGAGACCAAAGAAGATTGAATACTGCTAAAAGACTCTTGGTAACTATGACAATGGAATGAGCATTCTGGTGGGGATGCTGTTTCTTAGAGGAAAGGGTGCAGGGAGTGGGACGCAGGGCCAAGTTGATCACACACAGTATGAACATATTTGTGACAGTGGAATCTACCCCATAGCTGATAAAAGACAATTTTTAAAAACCCAGTTTTTCTCTGCATTAACAATTTCCATACACATTTGGAAAGAAATTTCACCAAAAACTATGAAACACAAATATACTTATTTTTTTATTGTATAGTTAAGTAGTACAAAGGTTTCAGTTCAGGGTGTCAATTTATGAGTACATCTTTATTAGTGCCATCAACTTGACCAAAAACACCCATTCTGTCACTCTCCCCTCCCATACAAAACCTTTTTTCTCCGTATTGGGGCTTGAATTCAGAACCTACATTCTATCCCTGAGCCTTTTTTGCTCAAGGCTAGTGCTCTAGGACTTTGAGCCACAGCTCCACTTCTGGTTTTCTTGTGGTTAATTGTAGATAAGAGTCTCACAGACTTTCCTGCCTGGGCTGACTTTGAACCTCAGTCCTCAGATCTCAGCCTCCAGAGTAGCTAGGATTACAGGTGTGAGACACCAGCACCAGGCACAAATGTATTTTCTTAATGTATAGAATATAGCTACTCAGGAGGCTGAGCTCTGAGAATTGCAATTTGAAGCTATCCTGAGTAGGAAAACCGATGAGATTCCTATCTCCAGTTGCCCAGCAAAAATCTGAAAATGGAGCTGTGATTCATGTAGTAGCATACTAGCACTGAACAAAAAAGCTCAAGGACAGAGCCCAGGGCCCTGAAGTCAAGCCCTAGGACTACCATACACACACACACACACACACGTTTGGAAGATAGAAAAGGAAACACTGCTACCTGGAAGATTCAATATTCGTTTTCTTTCTTTTCTTTTTTTGGGGGTCCGGTTCTGGGGCCTGAACTCTGGGCTTGGGCGCTGTCCCTCAGATCTTCAGCTCAAGGCTAGCGCTCTACCACTTGAGCCACAGCACCACTTCTGGCTTTTTTCT